CTTTCCTCCCTGTTTGCAGCGAAGAAGTTCTTAGAACACAAGGAAATGGTTTCCTCATTGGTTATGCTAAAAGCTTCACTGATACTCAACCACCATTGTTTTGTCAGGTGGGAAACATTCACTGGGTTAACCTCTGTGAAGGTCACCAGTCCTACCTGTCAGTCTGCCTTGTTAAACCAGGATGGTGTCAACAGGCTGAACCTGACTTTGTGCTCTCTGCATGTAATGAAATGTCTGATTCACGCAGAGTGTGTGTATGGATATGCAGGAATGTGTCTCTCCTCCTCTCCTCAGCCCTGTGCCTAAATTCCAGAGGGCAGAATGATAGAAATCATTCTTTATTTGCTTTTAAGAAGGCTAAGGGAGAGGTGAAGTAAGGGAGAGTATGACAAACATTTGCCTGGGATTTCATGGGTGCCTGGATGTTAGGAGAAAGAATCAAAAAGAGCAGAAGGAATATTAACACTGAATTCATCATTAGTGGCACAAAAGTTGGAGTAAGTTGTATTCTGACCAAAAAAAAAGTCATTTATTTAGTAATACTGCACAGACTTTGCATTCTGAGTTGCAGAGCAGAAACCACTGCAGTTCTCTTCCATCACTGCAGCACAGATTCATTAGGCAAATTCTTTCTTTTACACCTTTTGCAGAAGTCACACTTTGCATTCAAGTGTAAATAAAAGCAAGAATCAACTCTGCAGTCCTTGATCTTTTGCTGGCAGCACTTCCCACACGGTGGTTGTGAGGGCTCTGTGTGGGCACAGCCTGATTGGGGCCTGTTTTCTACCATCAGTTGGAGATATTCAGCAATCACATTTGTGTTATTCCTTCCAACTGATTTGGAGAAGAACAGAACCATTTGGTTTGTGCTTTGCATGTTTCAGAATGTGCTTGCAAGTCATCACCTACTGAATGTGTGAAGACAATCTTGGAAAATAATTTAATATCGAGAGAAAATTAATGGAGAAGCTAAAAATAATGGGGCAGCAGTGAGGACCTTCATTCCCATATGCCCTTTTGGCTTTTGTCTCCTGTTATTTTCTGCAACTATTTTCTGTACTACAAACCAGTCCTGCAAATTCTCTCAGCTGCTGGAATTGCCTTTTTTGGGATGAGATAGCCTTAAAAAAAGGAGAACCCTCTCCCCACCACCTTTTTGAGTCTTGCTGCCCCAACCCTGGCAGTGTTTCATTCCAGGCTGGATGAACCTTGAGCAACCTGCTCTGGTGGGAGATGTCCCTGCCCAGGGCAGGGGTTGGGGCTGGATGATCTCTGGGCTCCATCCCAACCCTTAACATTCTATGATTATATGAGATGATCTTTAAGGTCCTTCCAACCCAAACCAGTCTGTGATTCTCTGATAGCAGCTCCACATTTCACTTCTTCTCAGGAGGAATTTCTCCTAGACATAGACAATGTTAATTGACTAAATTCCCACAAATCCCTCTGAAAATCCTTCTCATAAAGCACTTGCAAACAATGAGGCTGTTAGACTTCCTGGGCTGCCTCTGCTGAGGGCACAGATAACCTCAGTTTCCTTTTGTTTCACCATCTGTTTGCATCAGTTTGTTCTTTCTTATCTTGATGTGTGTTATAAAAACCCTGAGCAAAGGAACATCCTCCTGTCTTTGTGTTCTGCTTTGCATTCTGCCTGGCACTGCTGGGCTGGGCACAGAGTGGTTCCTCTCCTACATCAGTAGGACTAAGTAAACAGGTCAGAACATCATCTCCAACACCCTCCTGTGCTGCTGCATTGGAGCTAATTGGTAGTATGTTCATTTATAGGGTTTTGTTGTGGAGTTGAGGCTTCCCTGGACAGCAGCAGCACAGGCAGATGCTGGGGACAGTGCCCAGTTTGAGTTTGGGTGTGCTGAGCTGCTGGTTTGGAGGGGAAGGGGGGAGATGTCCCTGCAGAGATGTAGGTTGTGCTGACTCTTGCTGCTTGGCCTTGAACCCACAGGCTCAGTCTGGTCTGTTTTCTTTAGTACTGCAGAGATAGGCTGAGATGCCAAGGGTTACACAAATAAAATCAGATGCCTTTGATAGGTGTCAGCATTTTAATGAGGAATTAAATTAAGCCCTGGATACTCCTGGCCATCTAATGGCACTATTTTTCCTTGGCACGCTGCTTTTTTTGTTGCTATTTTTTTCCCCATATTTTATGACAATTGCCTCAAGTCCTGATCTGGTGGGATTATGCCAGATACCTGCACAGTTGGAAACTCATCAGTGATTCAGATTCCTTCAGTCAGGATGTCAGTTTTATCACAAACCTTGCAAAGCTTTCCGTGGTGATTTCAAATTTCCTCTTTAGTAGACATTTTGTTTGAATGCCATGAAGGGGCTCTGTTCCCTCAGCCCCCAGGAGTACAATAAGCTATGCTCTTTGAGACAGCCCAGATGAGTACAAAGTTACCTTCATTAAATTTTCTTTTCATGCTTTAGCATAGAATATTTCTTTTTAAGAATCCCTCTCTCTCGTTTTCCTTTGTGTTTTCATCCTATTACCTTTCTGAGGTTGCAGTGCATCAGCCTGATGGAAAAGGTGGGTGCAGAGCTCCCTCAGAGGTTTATTCCAGCACACAGGGATGTTCTGCTGGCACGTGAGGGGCTTGAGGAGCAGCTGGAGAAGGGAAAGCACATCAAGGAAGTGTAAAATTAACAAACCTACATCGTTCCTGGTGTGTTACATAGCACAAGGTGCAGCTCAGGCTGCTCATAGTGACTTTGGATCAGAAGGGCACTTTAGATTTTGACTGTGTTGATTCTGTGAAGGAGTTACTGAGATGGAGATCTGTCAGTGTTCCCTGGCAAGTCCTCCTTCACTCCTAGGTTTGTGTTTGTCCTTCAGTGCAGTTGTGAAATCCTCAAGTGAGTGAATAAATCAGTATATTTTAAAGACGTTGTACATGGGCAGGGACATCTCCCCCCAGCCCAGGCTGCCCCAAGCCCCATCCAACCTGGCCTGGAACACTCCCAGGGATGGAGCAGCCACAGCTGCTCTGGGCAACCTGTGCCAGTGTCTCAGCACCTCCCAGCCAGGAATTCCTTCCTACCACATAACCCAAGAAATAATTAATCTAATCATAGGAAGTTTTGTGTTCGGGAGATATTTCCTTCCCCTTTGGAGAGTTTCCTTGCTGTTGGTTGGTTCTGACCATCAGAGAGTCCTCTCATCCATCATCAACAGAAATCAATGGCAAACCCTTCACTGGGGTTACCATAAAGCACAGTGGAGCCTTCTGTCCTGCACTGGAGATCCTGCAGCCCGTGGTTTATGGCCATCTAATGTCAGCCAGGAATCTCATTTAGTGTTTTCCCCAAAGTACAGATGGAGCATTAGGTGGTGTAAGAAGCACAGCAGATCAATACGGAGTCGGCGTTCGCCTTCGACAGATTAATCCAAGGAAATGGACTTTGTTGACTCGAAGGAAGTGGTCCTGAGCACATTGACCTGCATCAGGTCTGCAATGCCTGGAAGGACAGGGTTGAGCATGAAAAATCACCAGTGAAAAGTCTTGGTCTGAAAAGAACTAAGTGAGGGGCAGGAAATGACATGTCTGATAGGGCTCCAACGTGGCTGGCAACGTACAGAATCCACTGAAGCATTCAAAGAAGGGATAATACATGGATTTGGGTCACTCATGGCATGGCTCTGGGAAAAAGGCAATCAAAAACTCTTTACCATGGGTTAGAGAGCACAACCAGTGAAATGGCTTTCAATGCATCGACAGAATTTATGTAGTGAGGGCACAGCAGCTCATTTCCTTCTCTCTTCACCTTTATATAGAAGTCACTATAAAATCACTTGTGAATAAAGGCACAGCAAGATTTGCCCTGTGTAGTTTTTGTTAGCTCATGGTCTATTGTATTGGTTTATCAATCCACACTAGGGTTTCAGCCATTTAAAACGAGCTCTGGTTTAGTTGGACCTAAATCATCACCACTGGGAGTCTTATGTCTACAGAGAGTGTACGTGGTGCTTCCTCTTGTTCTCCAGCCCAGCACAGACCTTGCCATCATCAGACAGTGTGCAGTAGTGGATGGTTGTACATTGTGATGCCTTTGAAGTGTGTGCTGATATCAGCAGAGGAGGGATTAAGGGAAAATCCTCATCTGTAAGAGTCTACAGAAGTTTGAACTTGGAGATCATAAAGTGTGTAAGCCCCTGGGACTGCACTGAAATTCTGTTTTAGGCCTTTCACAGATGTTGGGTGATGAAGGAAAAGAGAAAGAAGGATGTTTTGTATAGGTACGTACTGTAAAATCAAGGTGACTTGACCTTCTTTTTCTTAGTGCTACATCTTGAATGATTGTCAAGAAGTCAACTCCCTCAAGGAACAGTTTTGTTCTTCCTCTTTCATTGCTTTATTGGACTAAAGGAGATCTGCCTTGGCCAACCAGCAAAATAACAATCAGACTCATAGAATCAAGAATAGTGTAGTTTGGAAGGGACCTACAAGATCATCCAGTCCCACCCCCTGCCCTGGGCAGGGACACCTCCCACCAGCCCAGGCTGCTCCAAGCCCCATCCAGCCTGGCCTGGAACACTCCCAGGGATGGAGCAGCCACAGCTGCTCTGGGCAACCTGTGCCAGTGTCTCACCACCCTCATAATCAAGAATTTCTTCCCTTGGAAGTGTTCCAGGCCAGGTTAGATGGGGCTTGAAGCAACCTGGTCTATGGAAGGTGTCCCTGCCTATGACAGGGGGTGGAACAGGATGATGTTTAAGGTCCTTCC